TTGAAGTTTCGTATTCCATGTACAAGTTCAAGATCTTGAACATTTTCAAAGTGACAGGATTAAGGAAAACAATAAATGATTTATTTCAAGATCGTAATTAACTTTATGAAAGAACTTAACTGAAGTTCAGGGAATTTCAGGGAAATTTATTCCATTTATTTCCGAGCAAAACCGAGATCTTCAATAGAATTGAGAGCTTTAGGAATGCTTCGAGAGCATCAAGACGGATCTGTGAATCAAAGGGTAGTTCAAATAATTTCAAGTTAATTGTAGAAACCTAGAAAAAGTTTCGAGCAACTCAAGGAATTTCCGGACACTTCAGCAAAGCTTCGAGCGATTTTCGGGAACGTGATAAAAATAATATGAACATCCGGGAAATGTGAGAGTATTTTAAGGGTGTTATATTATGGAGATTTCAAACACTTAAAAAAAATGCAAAAATTTAGCTAAGTTGATTAGAGAACATCAACGAAGTTCCATTAATTGAAAAAAAAGCGAGAACTTTTAGCAAGCAGCGATATCTTCAAGAAGTTCCATAGAACTTCTATTAAATTTAGATATTTTAAGATAGTTTCATGATATTCAGCGAAGTTCCAAGTATTTCGAGTACGATTAGATAGGCTCAGAATAATCCCATTAAACAAACTTCCAGCGGCTTACAAGGAGTTTCATGGAATTATGGAGTATTCCATAAATTCTATAATCCAAAAACGTCAGAAGAGTCAGGGAATTGTAAATAGAAAATTTGCTGAATTATTGAACAAATTTATAGAACTTCAGGTAGCATAAATAAGTTCAGCGAAAATTATTGAGCGTTTATAATAGTTATAATACTCAGTGCTGGAAACGTTCGCGATATTTAACGAAGTTCACCATGGGAAAAGTTCACGAGTCATAGTGAGTTATCGCGAACTTTTCCATCACTGATAATACTTTAGGAATTTTTTTGAAACTTCAAAGCAAATCAATTAATTTTAGTAAAGTTGCGGGTTCTTAAAAAATACTGATAAATTCAGGACAGTCTAGAGAACTTTAAAGAAATTCAGTAATCTTTTAGGCAGATTTAATACCACCATTATTCCCAAGTAACATTTCTCCAATCATTTGGCATCCACTCTGATTTATGACGGATTTATGATAGCAATGAGTAATCCATTTAGTTTAAATACAGCATTTCACAGTGTAAAACGTTCCTGCTTAGTAGTTTACCTTTTCGGCGTTTTAAAAACCTTTTAGTCTGACGAGAAGTCAAAAACTGTCTTGTTTTAAAATTACATTTGAAGTAGCTCTCAATCCTACCATAAAACTGTTCTTAAGATCAATCATAAACTGCATTAGCATTTATTTTTATTTTTGTCTTGATAAAATACTCTATAAACCTGTTCTATGTTCTATAAACCATTATTCTATCAAACCATTCGGTTTAAATGAGAGTAAAATGCATATTTTGGCTTTTAAAAGTGTATCATAAAATCTCCTCTGTTTACAAATTGAAGTTTAAGGATGGATCCTCATAGTGAATAAAAACCAAATTTATGACAAGGATATCTCGAAGTTGGAGGAAAAATTCAAGCGATGCTAGTAAAATTTAGTTCTTTTGAAGAACCAGCACGTCCAGCGGAACGGGTACCATCAACGACTGAGCATCTCCAGACCTTGCGAATAGATGAAGATCGGAATAACTTGCGTCAGTACCGACAGCAAACCACTGAAACTGTCAGTTAGCGGACGCTAGTTGGTTTCCGATCCATAGCTGCGATTTTATTCGGTGAAAGGGTCATCACTTGGAAAAAATTCATTCAATCTTACATTCCTGCATTCTTTGATGGTGCACTTCCAGAACCATCCGGAAGAAGGGGATCTTTTCGGGAATGATCGAGGCTACAGCTGTGCGAAATGCTAAATGTTGTGAACACTTTCTGACTAACTGCTTCCAAGCCATCGGGAGAGAATCGCCTGGAAGAACGCTGAATCGCACAGCGCAACTATCGAAAGATAAACAAACTTTGACGTTTAACATTTTGTAGGCGCCATTGCCGCCATAAATGCTGCCATAAATCTGAACGGGTTAGGATCAAGCAAAATGGCTTTAGATAAATACAATTCAGTCTACAAGTTTTCTTCATAAAAGCCATTTCAAAACCTTATGAATTTGTTAAGGATTTCTTGAGAGCAAAATAACTTTTTTCACAAATGGCCCATGAAAATCATCTGTTATGCCTCCGCCATATTACAATTATTTTGTTTCGATTTTCGATCTATATTTCCTTGGATATAACTTTATTTTAGTTAATTTATCAATGAGAAAATATTTGGAATGCAAAAATCACGAGAAATTAAAATCTCGTCCAAGCTTAATGATCGATCTGAAGAATATAATTTTTTTTCTTAATGTTAAATAATTAGTAAAATCGATGTTTTCCGTGGGCGGACTCAAGTTTTTCGATATTTTCACGTACATTTCACATCAAATTTTAAATGGCACCTAAAACTAGGCCACTTCATGAGAATTATTTTAGAATTTTTCAAATTCGGCAGGATCAGTTTTTATTTTAATTATTTTGATCAGATCGGATGGTATTTATGAATCCTTGTTAATCTTGATTGTTGTTTTTCTAGTGAACTTAGCAAGCAGTTAGGGTAAATGGCTCGGATAATGGTTTTAATTCTTGCCAAATAGCTTTTATTGTAGCTTACATACGGTTTTGAAATAGATCTCAATGCGTTTATCGTACAACCATTTTGCAGTAAATCAATCTTGAAGAGCTTTGAAAATATACCCTTCAGAACCTTTTGCAGAGTGGGCCAACTAGACATATTCTAGCATCAATGAGGTTTTGGTGGATGCATCAATGGCAAAGCAGTATTGACCAGGGTTTTATGAATGCTGTTTTATAGTAGCTTTGTAGTATTTCATAAAACTTAACATGTTACTTGGGTTTCGTTCTAATTCCATTAAAATTGCGGGAGTACAACAGTTCCAGAAATTTAGAAAAACTTCGAAAACTTCACAGATGGACAGTGGTCTTCAGAAAGATTTCGAGAACTTCATAGAATTCTATAGAGCTTGAGGGAAGCCCGAAGGGAAGATCCGCGAACTTCAGAAATTTTTATGAACATTAGCAAAATACGTGAGCATTTGAAAAAAGTTTAGTAAGCTCCGAAAATTTGAGCAATTTCAGGGGGAGGTCAATTCCATTAGTTTCAGAAAATTAGTGGAAAATTTAAAACAGTTCCCAGATTTTCCGATAACTTCAGAGACGTTAAAAAGTTAATTGAGGTCTTCGCACAAGTTTAGAAGTTCATTGAAGCTTAATCATTTTTTGGACGGTTCAATTGAATTCGGTGCAGTACAACAAGCTTCATGAGAACTGCAAAACTTTAGAGAAGTTTTAAGAATTTCAGAAAAGAACAGACAACCTCAGAGCAGTTCTGTTAACATTAGAGAAGGCACATAAATTTTAAAGAAGTTTAGAGAATTTCAGCGAATTGTTCAACCTTTAGAGGAGATCCATGATCGTTAGAAAAATTGGGGAAACTTAAGGAAGTCCTATAAAGATCAGGAAAGTTTAAGAATTTGATGAGAATTATTGTGAGCATAAGGCTAGTTTCAAAAAAATAACAAAAGAACTTCAAAGCAGCTTCATTAATTTTAGGAAAATTTGGTAACTTTCAAGCAGTTCTGAAGACCTCAGAATAGTCCATTCCATATTCAACGGAGATTTCAATTGAAATATTCCTTAATATTTCGATGAAACTATCCTCCGAATTAAATTTTCTTTTAGTTTTCCTCGGAATTACCTTGAAATTCTCCACAATAAGAAAGATTCTCCGGATATTAATTGAATTCATTTCAGATTTCCTTTTGAATCTCACTCTTTCCCTTGGAATTCTACTCATATTTAAAGTCTCCTAAGGATTCGCTGAAACTTCGCCTCACAAATTCTTTAGATTTCTTCTCATAATTTGTTTGGCAAATTCTCCTGAATTTATTTTCCGAATTCATTTGAAAATTTCCTGGATTTATTCTCAGATTTAATTGTAATCCTCCTTTTAGTATATTAAAAAAAAATATCCAAAGGCTTATGCTCCGGATTCGTTTTCTCTCACAAATTTTATGAAATTATGTTCAAAATGCCCTTCAAATTTTCCTCTGAAGTTCACAGGAGTTGTGCACCTCAGAAATTCCTATGAGTTTTCATTAAAATTTAGTTTTAATTCAATTCAGGGTTTTTGATAACTCGGCTCTGTAAAGTTTATTCGATTGAGCCTGTACAAATAAAGCAATTATTTAAAAAAAATCAGGGTTTCTTGAAGTTCTACTCGAAACTATCAGGCTTCACATGAAATCTAAAATTCCTCAGAACTACCGTGGGTTTGGCCATAAACTTTCTATTGAATCTTTCGCTTTAAATTAGATAAGGAAAATGGATGAAATGTCGGTCTAAATGCCCCTAATTTGGGCCTATACTTAATTTCAGCAATCGACTAAATTTTCAATAGCGACCAAAAATATCCATTAGTACCGTCCCAATGACGCGTGCATCTAGATAAAATTGATAAATAGCCGATCCATAGGCCAACATTAGAGCCATTTCCCCTATGTTATCAACATGATTTCAAAAATATCATATCATTTTGACCAACTTTTGAAATCCGACTTTGCTAGGGAACCGTTTTCAGTATGGCCTGTGTGGGGAATAATTAAAACCCAGCATCAGATTACCTAACAATCCATCGATTCTACAATGATGCCACCCCCTGACTACACTACTGAAAAAAAAACACACACACACAGCAGAACTAAGAGCTCGATCCATGCGGGCGCAATATTCGCTTGAAATTGAGATTAGTTATTTATGTCGTACATAATTTTGCGCATTTGCCACATCCACGTCCCCTTGCATATATGCAGATGTGTATTTATATTTGCCCGTACCCGTTGGTACCTGAATTATTTTCCAACCAAATGATGACTCTTTCTTATTTCTTTCATTTAGTCGAGTGACTCGGAGATCCTTTTGGAAAGTTTCAGCGAAGACGAGAGCGAAACTCAACCCCAGCAACAGCAGACCAGTAGCAAAGATCAGGAGAAAACGAAAGCCGATCACCAGCAGCAAAAGAAGAAACATCAAGACAAAAATCAAAACGAAGATAGTAAGAAGAATAACAATAACAACAACAACACCTCCAGTAGCAACAGCAAATCCACCACAAGTGGGAAGAGACGTGGAAGTGGGAACGCTGCAAACAGTAGTAACAAAAACAACAACAACAACAATAATAGCACCAACAGTACTAGCAATAGTAATAGTACAAATGTCAATAATAATAACAATAACAACGCCGCCGCAGTTGTCAGCGATACCAGTGATAGTAGTAGTGCCGTTGGTGAACAGGAAGTGGCCGGGAAGAGCAATCTGGAGATCCGAAAGTTGCTTCGTCGGAAGGACGAACTGGAGCGGAAGCAGAAGATGCAGGAAAAGTACACCCAACGGTTACAGGTGAGTGGAGGAATTTTGATTTAATCTTGTTCGGTATCTCTGCCTCTCGCTCTCTGGACCATACGCTATCGGTGTTTGGAAATGAATACGAAATGAGGCTGTGTTTAATCCGAACGGTTCGGGGTTCGGAATCGATTAGCATTATGAATATTTATCCCAATAATGTCGGACTCTGCTGGGTTGCGTCGGGCTTGGCTAATTGATTGCTAAACTATATAGCGATAGCACTCCGCGCGGAATTGGCACCGGGATTGGGTGATAACGGTAGTGGTCGTCACAGGTTTCACACGCGGGTTTGAATCGAAACAGTGCTGGAGCATTTTAATGAGGGGATGGACGTCCTGCTGTGGTCCTAGTGGCTAGAGGTCATGTAGATTCTGCTGTTGATTTGTTTTTTTTTGTGTGTAGCCTTTCTAATGAAGCAATTTCACCCCATTGTGGATTGTTTATTGGTTTTTGCAGGGTGGGATCATAAAATGTGTATCACCTTTTTGCGACACAATGCGCAAATTTACGGATGACTAAATTAAATTCGTTCTTTCTGGAATCGACCGTAGGAAAGGTTGTCTATCGGTGGACTTTCTAATTTAGATAATACTCTGATTGGGCACGGACATTGGAACCTGAGCTAGAAGAATGTGAGATGGGACAAAATCCATAATTTATTGGTTGTTAACTTCAGATTGTTCCCGTTTCTGTTTTCTTCTGGATCATAATTGGATGGATACAAATGTACAGTTTTGGATAAAAGATTATATTCTTTCGATGCGATTCAAAAGATGATGCCCAAAACAAACGTCTAGAGACAAAAAAAAAAGAAATCGAAGAGATGACCTAACTAGGAACACTTCAACGAGCAGTTATCCAAGCATCTCTTGCATTCATAAAAGCAACCGTCACTGAGAGTCACACGGGCAAAACCGTTGCAGCTTTCATAGACGACCTTGGAATCTCTCATCACAGCACCATCGCGGAAACCGCGCGACCGATTTGCCATGCACCGGGTAAACGCTCAGAACATTATTTCAAGTACTCTAACCTGAAGATGAGACACCAGAAAGTCGTTGCTCTGGTCCCCAAACCGCACCGGCAGAGTGTAGGCGACGACGAATAAACATTGCTCATTGAGCCCGAAAAAAAAGGATGGCGGTGCAACAGCTAACTAGATGAGATGAGCCAAAGTCCCGCTAGCAGCAAAGCATAGCGTCGCAAGTGACGTAAGTGTTTCGCATGACCACCAAGCAATTCGCGAAAAGCGTGTATGATAGTTTAAACTACTTAATGGTGTGTGGTGGACCTCGAAGATTTGTTACTGCAAAAAAAATACAAAACGAACCGATCCTGCACTTTGCGCCAAATGGCAAATATTTTCCTATTCAAATTGCATCACTCCGTACCTGACTGCGTTGGAGGACTGCAATCAAGAGCTTCAGCTAAATCACTCGCGGCTCGTGCGATAATGACCACGATTGATGGTGTTTAATTTTCTCACTGATTCCAATATCGGTTGCCTGTTTTTTTTTGCCATAGTTGCTCAAATTGAATGCAAATAGCCCTCCATACGCGCATCATCATCATCATCATCATCATCCTCGCCGTTGGAACCCATCAACTGGCTGTACGGGGTAGATGACTAACACACCTTCTCATGTTCCTCCAAATTGCTCCGATTATTTTTGTATACAAACAGGAGGCACTGTGCGTACTAATCATTCTTGATCCGACCATGTAGTGTTTAGAACCAAAACGGTTGGTTACTCTACTAGGTAGCTGAAGCTCATTATTCTCGGCGATTTTTTGCAGCCGATTGTTTGGCTAGCAATTTGTCTTCCTGCTGTTGTTGTTGTTGTTGTTCTGCGTTGACTGGTCGTAGTCACAGCAATTGGCGAAGAATGCCACCACCAAGATCTACCGTTCCGCGGGTGCTCCGAATCTCCCGGATACAATCGCCACCTGCGACCGCCACTGCCGCCGCACAGTTTGTGTTGAAGAGTGCGATTAAAAGGCCTTTTTGTCTGTGGCTTGGAGATCAAGACCACGGCGCAGTCCATCAACGCGCTGCTGATGCTCTCCATGGGCCACCGTCGCAGCAGTCATCGGTGTCGTCGTCGTCGTCGTTGCCGTTGCTATGTAACGGGATTATCGCGTTCTTGCATTATTTTTTTTTTTTGCTCGCTTTCCACACTCTCTGGACTCACGTAGGTACTTTTCCCTTGTGCGCTGCGACTTAAGTCTCAGTTCATTTTCAGCCCGATTAACATAATTTCAATTCATTTAATGTGTAACAAGCGACGCCGTAAATACTAAGTAGTGTGCGGGCAGAAAGAAATTTGCAACGATTTCAACGCCTGCCCTGATCTGATGTGTTGTCGTCGCCTTCCCCCCCCTCCCTGGTGGGCCCCGGCGCAGCCAGCACTGTGGCTGAAGAAAACTGTATCATTCAGGAGAAATGGCCTTTTTACTGCTTCTTGATTTTTTTGCTTTTGTTTTTACCGAGCAGCGGGGTTCGAACCGTGAGCGCATTAAAATTCTACACGATTCCAGGCTAAATGAGTTATGTTAAAATCAAAATGGGTAAATTCTTTATTTCTTCGTGGGTTTTACTGCCCTAATGCTCCCTGACAGAAGCGAAGCGCAGGCGCAGGCAGGCAGTTAGTCTTGCTACGTCGTAGCAAAACTGTGTTTGACTCTGATTTTTTCTTTTTCGTTTGTTATGTGAAGAACGTGGTGCGCCTTGAAATTATCTGAATATCTGCGCAAATTGTTTTTCGAGTCATCCGCGCTAAGGTTTTATGGATGGCCTCGCTCTTTTTCTAGATGTTCTTCGGCGTGAACGTGATGTAGAGAATTATATCACCCAAGCAAACGACGTGCAAGGCGGGTCCCTACGGAAGCTTTGTGTGGGTATGTACGTATCTCCATTGCAATTAGTCGGTTGACAGCCCCTCGTCGTTTGCTGGCAGGTAACCTAGATATAGGGACCTTTATTGCAACGGTCAACCATCGGCGTAGCTACTGGTTGGAAGATGGGCGGACCTTGGGGGTCTTCTAGACGTGTTCAGGCTCCCTTTCTCCAAATATTGATTTTCCTGATCAAATGTAGAGTTGGTTTTTTTTCAAGGATTGTAGGGTTCTTTAACGAAATCGAGGTGGTCGATGAGTTTGTGTATTTGGGGTCACTGGTGACCGCCGAAAATGATACCAGCAGAGAAATTGAAAGACGCATTATGGCAGGGAATCGTGCCTATTTTGGACTCCGGAGGACGCTCCGGTCGAATAAAATTCGCCGCCGCACGAAGTTGACTGTCTACAAGACGCTGATTAGACCGGTGGTCTTCTACGGCCACGAGACCTGGACTATGCTCTTGGTGTTTTCGAACGACAGGTATTGTGTACCATCTACGGTGGAGTGCAGATGGATGACGGAACGTGGAGGAGGCGAATGAACCACGAATTGCACCAGCTGCTGGGAGAACCATCCATCGTCCACATTGCAAAAAAATGGGCAACTACGGTGGGCTGGGCACGTCGTAAGAATGTCGGACGACGACCCAGTGGAAATGGTTCTAGAAAGCGACCCAACAGAACCAAGAAGAAGAGGCGCGCAGCGGGCAAGGTGGATCGACCGAGTAGAAGGTGACCTGCGGACCCTTCGCAGACTACGAGGCTGGCGAACTGTGGCCATGGATCGAGTAGAGTAGAGACGACTTCTTCTGACAGCACAGGACAACAAGGTCTTAACCTGATTGGTAAGGTAAGGTAGGGTTCTTTAACCAGTTCTCCCGGCATTATCGTACTAAAATATCGCTTTAAGTTTGTGGGATTTCGACGGACGTGACGAATAAAACGCGATAATTAATTACTAATATTAACCGCGTACAAAGACTGACTCACTGCAACATGGTCGTATGATTGTGTTGGTGAATGCAGGGATGAATCCATGCTGCGGCACCACCACAGTAGCCCCCTCCAGTTACATCAGAAATCTAATCCTATGGCCTGATGATGTGACTACAGTTTTGTTATCATTTGTAGCATCCGATTGCTTTGTGACAAACGCAGGCTTGATGCGATCAATAGAGATACGTTGTTGTTTACCGTTGATCATAACATCGACAAATTTTTTTTCACGTTTGATGATTTTGTATGGTCCTTCGTAAGGTCTTTGCAACGGCTTTTTAACCATATCAACTCGCACGAACACGTACTGGCAATCATCCAACTCCTTATACACAAACACTTTAGGCTTGGCATGGTGCGACACATGAACTGGTTTAAGGTCGTCAAAAATCTTATGCAGTTCTCGACAATACTCGCTACGATCTAGGTTCTTCGTTGGTTCGTCGAAAAACTCACCAGGGATTCGTAATTGTTGACCGTAGACGAGCTCAGCAACAGAACAGTTGAAGTCTTCTTTCAACGAAGTTCGAATTCCAAGCAACACCATTGGAAGTCTTTCAACCCAGAGCTTCGAACCGGTACACATCAAAGCAGATTTGAGTGTCCTGTGGAAACGTTCTACTAATCCATTTGCCTGGGGGTGGTATGCAGTAGTGTGCAAGTGTTCCGAACCAAGTAATCTGTTCAGCTCTCTGAACAATTCACATTCAAATTGTCTGCCTTGGTCTGTTGTAACTTGCTCAGGAACCCCGAATCTCGATATTCATGCATAATTGAAGGTGCGTGCAACAGTTTCAGCAGTGATATCGGAAATAGGAACTGCTTCTGGCCAACGACTGTATCTGTCAATCATTGTTAGTAAGTACCGATACCCATTACATTTAGTAAGCGGACCAACAATGTTCATATGGATATGCTTGAATCTACTTTTGGGCAACTGGAATGTACTCAAAGGAGCAGTTACATGGCGTTGTATTTTTGATTGCTGGCACGCCAAACAATGCTTAACGAAGTCTGCCACGTCTTTATTCATCGAAGTCCAAACGAATCGATCAACTATCAACTTCCGCGTTGCTCGGACACCTGGATGTGACAGCTCA